TATGAACGCGATGCATTTGTTGTTACTGTTGTTATTGAGGTCGGTGTTGTAGGTGATGTTGTAGTTGGTGATGACGATGATGTGGTTGGGAATAGAGTAACTACTCCTGTTGTGGGACTCGATGGAACAAATGTTGATGTTGTAGTAATTGTGGTAGTAGTTGTAGATGTTGAACCTTTCAACGAAGTGATTCTGTTAAGCAAATCCTGTGAAATTACGCGGCCGGTACCAATATGATCATGGGTGCGTCGACCTCTGTTCGTGCGCTGTTTATTGAAAAGTTGGTAGCTGTGGTCAGATCCTTGCGGGTTGCCTGTAATTGAATTGGCATAACTGTTATAATTGCTTACACAAAAGTATTGGTTTGGTCATCTTACCAGATGCTTGCAGCGCGACGGCAGCTAAGCCAAATGCGAAGAGGGCTACTTGGAAGAAATGCATTTTGTGTTAGTATACTGTGTCGCTCCTCACTCTGCCAGGACACTATGAGGTAAGCTATTTGTTAAACTAAAACCAATCGTTGAAAAAATATTTATTCTACAAATATTTTTCTTGTAATCTTACGTTACTCCAAATGCTTGGAGCTCACTGATCGATAAGGCCTACGACCGCAATATTTATACGTTGACCCATGACAAAGCCTACCAAGGGCCAAAATTCTAATTAGTTCTTGTAGGCCTATTCAATATTCGCACAAACAACAGCATGAATAATTAGCAATGGGCTGGTGTAAAAGTTACAAACAACAACGTTTAACCCATCTTACTTGGCTAAAGTTACAGAACATTGTAAGCGAATTAGCATAAAACACATACTTACTAACTTACACACTTACACAGATACCGAAAAGTCACATTTGAATAATTTACGCTTAGGCTTGAAAGAAATTAGCCAAATCAGCTTTCTTTTTTTTTTTTGTATTACTGCGCCAAAAACTTAGAATCGACGCTGCTTCTTAACGTTGTCAAGGCAGCCAAAAGGGCTTATTGATTTACAACTATTTTGAAAGTATGCAAAGGTATGTTTGTATGTATGCTGTCCATACCAGAACAGACTGGGTAAATACTCCATATTTTACAGGTAGCTTTACCTGGTGTATTGGGTTAATTTTCTACGAATTTCTTAAATTTTACCATATTCTACTGTACATTTTTGTGTACGTTTGAGTTTTTGTTCTTATCGAACTCACTGGGAAAATAGGTAAGCACTTCACGAGGTAATCCATGTTTTCTTTCACTTTTTAATACCAAAATTGTCATCATGACCAATGTCATCTACTAGTAAAGCACAAAACGAACACCTTCGAAGACGAATTACGCTGTCAGTTGCGAAATAGCCGAATTACTCCGAGCGACTGCTCTACATTCTACGTCACTTACTTTGTAAAACGGTTCAGAAGTATGTCTTATACCGTATGTACATTCTAAATTCCTATTTACATAAGGCGGCCACGCCTTTGTTACAGTAAGGGATATTCGGCAGGGAAGTCCGGGAAGTAAGGACCGCCGGGTGAGATGCAATACCTTACCAGCAACTTACAACTAGGAGTATAGGGCAAATTGTTCTGGTAGGGGTGTTTAAAATTATGTCTTGCAAAGAAATTAGTCACAATTGTGTTGTTTGTGGAATTTATTTATTTATTAGTTCAAGTGAATTGCTCATTTAGCGAATTTGTTAAATATGAAAAACTAGCGGACGCGACGAATTGCGTCCCGCCCAAAACTGATTTCTTTATTCAAACATTTGGTACAAAGTTTTCACCACAATTCACGTTCACGTTTGGTTTTGTGGTCGTTAGAAAGCATCTCCCAAATTGCCGTCTTAAATAACCTAACGGAAGCGTTAAGTTCTTGAAGAAGTTCTTATGGCAACAATGATCCGGCACAATGGTGAATCGTCCTGGAATCTGTATAGAAACTAGAAGTACCATAAATGTCTTACAATTGAATTTGTAGGCATTCATCCAGAATTGTCTTTATTTTGTTGTTGTGTCTTTTTTTGTTAAGTCGCCGTAAAGTAAGGACCGCAATGGTTATGGTGGTAAACTTAACGGTGGTAATTTGATTTTGATCCCTAGTGCCTGCGAATAACTTCACTTGACGATTTTTAGCAATAACTCGACTCCAGCGCCACCTTTCGGCTCTTTTTATCAATAGTATTGCCCCTACCGTTACTAATACACATCTCGATTATGAGGCAAATCGGAACATAAATACGATTTTTAGTAATAACTCCACTCCAGAGCCACCTGGAGAGCAATTTTCCATTTACGTTGCCAATACGTATTTTGAATATTAGCCAGATCAGATCATAAATACGATTTTTAATAATAACTCGACTCCAGCGCCACTCGGGGTTCTAAATTGTGAGCCTAATTTATACAGGGACTTAGGACAAAAATTTTATTAAAGAAGTTCACTCGCAATCACATGTACAGAAGAATTATATGTATATCTATTTACAGATAGGTAAAAGTTTCAGTACTTTCACTTCAGTCACTTTTCTCCAAGAGAAAATTGTTTTGACGCACTTCTGCACTTACCGTCAATTTGTGTCTTCATACGTGTGGACGCCTTAAAAGCCGCCTGCAGACTAAAAAAAAAACGGATGTTGGTATAACTCTCCGTGGGGTGAGGCGGAAATTGCTGGCGGCAGAGATTCGAGCATTTGTGTCTATTCAATTCCGCAGGCTAGTACGCCACCATTACCTTTGTTGAAGAGATTCTATGATGTTCAGTTCCCTGAGGCGGAATGCTGGTTTAATTCCAGCTCTGAGCCAGGACTCACACATTAATGATGGCTGCAAAACTGACTCTGGGTCAGGATCTGGGGTCTTTTTCGAAGTTAGTGGTAATAAGCTTCACTTTTCTCTTGGCGAATATGCTTCGCTCTTCCAGGCTGAAGTATATGCAATCCTCAAAGCCATGAACTACGTGGTGGAAAGGCATTGGCCAGCGCTCTAACTAAGTACTTTCAGACTGGTTCGGAAATGCAAGTCTCTATTAAATTATGTTGGTAAACATAAGGCGCTTGCTTTACTCTAGGTGCCAGGTCACTTGGGAGTACCTGGTAATGAGACATCTGACTATTTGACGACACTTGGCTTAGACCAGGCATTCCTTGAACCGCAACCAGTTATAGCATTTATTACACACAAAAATAATTCGATGTAGCGTTTATGAATTTCCAAAAAGAGTGTTTTCGTGAACCACTATGACTTATGTGTATTTATCTTCATGTAATAAAAAAAACACCCAAAACAGTTCATTCCAAGAGAAGAAAATTTATTTTTTTGACCACAGGGTTTCAGATCAGCCCATAGTTCGGTGCCGCTGAACCGGTCAGAAATGCCACTCATAGGTCCTTCATTGTGTGATTTTAGAAAATTGTCCTGGTGTTCTGCTTTTTTAATGGGCGCCAATGCATACTACCATTTAATTTTTGGCAGATTTTTCCTATAAAAAGGCTGAGATGTCAGTTACTTTAAATCTAAAATCGATAACCAAAGGTTTTTCCAACGTATTGAACAAGTAAGTGTACCTTCTTTCTGTTTAGTTTATTTTGTTGAAATCTTACTTTTATATCTTCAGGCGAATCCCAAAAAAAGTGGTAGTTCCAGAACTGGTACACGACTAAAGTGTCATACATACTACCTAGTAGATAATTTCAGGAACTAAATTATCTTCTAACAGACGTTTCTGAAAGTCATTCCTTTCTACTTTATTTCTTGTAAGAAATAGCACAAATTGTATATGAATTACGTCAAATATCCTTACATTGGGAAGATTTTCAAGTAGGGAACCACGTCTTAATTTGAAACTCCCCCTTCGGAGCCTTTAAGTTTTTAAGTAATTCGTTGTTAAAGTGTTTTTGCATCCCACTCCGTTCTGCCTCAAAAAAATATAGAATGTTAGCAGCGCAGAGTTTATATCTAGGAGTGAATGGGGTAAAAAGTATGGTGGTGAGAACAAGATTTCGGAAAGCGAAAGCTCACCGAGCTTTTTCGAAGGATAGATAAAAGGCATACAGTCGGTTAGTGAAAATAGCTAAACCAGCATTAACAGCGCCAATCAAGAAGAAGAAACCGGCTATTAAGCTCGCCTGAGGAGCTATCGAATGTGAAAACGGGTACTTTTCAGGAGAGCAAAAAGCAGTTGTAAAAAATGTTGTTGTCATTAGGAAAAAGTGTTAAAGCCAGTATCCTCTGCTTCTAAGAAAATTAGAAGTTTGACGATTTTCCAACTTGCNTTTAATTTTATTTTCCTTATGAGTAATTTACTAAATTTAAATAAATTAATTAATTTAATATTTTTTCGTGACTTAGAATTCAGAATTTTGCTTCGGGTGCCTTATTATCAACAATGACGAACATTTGAGGCTCTTTAGCGCCCTTCAACCGGTAAGAGTTTACATCCCGCTCATCGTTCACATAATTTCGGCCTCTGTAGCTGTTCCTATTCGTGCGCTTCCTTTGCGATGTTTTTCGTTTTGTTTGACTTGAACCCTTCTGCGAGGATGTGCGACGCTTTTTGCCAGCGTTGGTTCTCTTTGGACTTTTACTCCTTGTTTTCTTTGTGCTTTGGCTGCTACCACCACGACGACGCTTACTACTAGAATTGGCAGGACGATATTCATCGTTGCCTTGTTCATCTTGCCTGCGAACGGATTTGCGGCGTTGATTGTGACGATGAGCGCTATTTTGACGATTGG